GGAGCAGGGATGGGACGGGAGCAGGGACGGGACGGGAGCAGGGACGGGACGGGAGCAGGGACGGGACGGGAGCAGGGACGGGACGGGAGCAGGGACGGGACGGGAGCAGGGACGGGATAGGAGCAGGGACGGGATAGGAGCAGGGACGGGACGGGAGCAGGGATGGGACAGGAGCAGGGATGGGACAGGGATGGGACAGGGATGGGACAGGAGCAGGGATGGGACAGGAGCACGGATGGCACAGGAGCACTGTCCCAGGCACCTTGTCACCATCATGCCTGGCTCAGAGCACAGCCAGAGGGGCAGGAGGGCAGTGGCACCCATCACATGGACACCCTGAGCGGGACAGGGAGACACAGAAATGGGGCAGGAGAGCGGCTCTGGGGCTGTGCCAGCTTTGGGGACAGCCGGGAAGCAGCACCAACACCCGAGGGTGCAGGATGGGGGTCACACCAACACCCGAGAGTGCAGGATGGGGGTCACACCAACACCCGAGCGTGCAGGATGGGGGTCACACCAACACCCGAAGGTGCAGGATGGGGGTCACACCGCGCCCCCCAGCCCCAGGGACCCCGCAGAACCCGGGGTGTTTGTGTGTGGAGGGGTGTTCCTGTGCCAGCCCTCCGGGCACAAGTGGCCTGAGCAGTGGCCTGAGCAGTGGCCGGTCTCAGCTGCCATCTAGTGGGCACTTGGGATCGCTGGGGCTGGAAAAGCCCTCCCGGACCACCCAGGCCAGTCTGTGCCAAATCCCCACCCCATCCCCAGCCCAGAGCACTCATTGCCACCTCCAGGTGCCACCTCCAGGGATGGGCACTCCAAACCTCCCTGGGCAGCCCCTGCCAATCCTGAGCACCCTTTCCATGGGGAAATTCCTGCTGATGTCCACCCTGAACTGCCCCTGGCACATTTCTCTCCTCCTGTCCCTGTTCCCTGGAGCACAGCCCGACCCCCCCAGCTGTCCCCTCCTGTCAGGGGTTGTGCAGAGCCACAAGGTCCCCCCTGAGCCTCCTCCTCCTCACTCACCACAACCTCACCTAAATCCTCACCTTGTTCCTTGCCACAAAACAGCCCAATCTGTGCCACTCCTAACCCCACACCCCAGCACAGCCCCCATCAGCCAACTCAGCTTTTATTCCTGACTCAGGCTTCAAGGAAGTTTCAGAATCGCCCTGCCCTCCACCATATACATGTGCAAACTGCATCAGCAGAGGAGAAAATCCGTAAGAAACTGATCCCGAGTATCTGAACAAAACCAAACACCACTGCTCCGTCACGGAGTTAGCAGCTTCTCCTGTTTCCAGCCTCTGTAACGTGGAAGAAAACCCAAAGTCAACACGGGGGCTTTATGAATGAATAACAAGTGGTAAGAGTTAACGGCGTGATGAGAGCTGTCTGGAGGCTGCTCTGACTGTGAGACACAGCGTAAATCTTCTCAAGTTGTGACAAATGTCTTGGCTAATGCAGCCACATTCTATGTTTAAATCTCACTAAGATGTAATTTGACATTTGGGTTTACTTTTTTCATTACAATTAAGAAACAAACCCCAGTCGGCGTTGATCACAGCCTGAATTTGCACATGGAATTACTGTCCCACAGTGCCAATCCTTCCCCACACTCTACAGCCAAATCAAAGGAAAACCAGACATTCTTTCCAGGAGGGCTCTTTGGTTACAGAAATACAGGCAAAGCATAGSGTGGATGTTTCTAGGAGTCCAAAGGTTAAATCCTCATCTCTTGCTCAAGGAAATCCCTGTGGAGAAGGTAACAACGAGGTAAACACGCTGCACCCTGGTGTTGCAAGGTAAGAACCCAAACAGAACAGCCCCCAGCTTCCTTTTGGGTGGATGGAGGAGGATAACTGAGGACAAGGAGCTGCCTCATCTGTCAGCACACACCACCTTCAGCAGCAAARTGCCTCTTGGATCYRTTTCCATGCMGGCTGCATTCCCATCGCTCCCTCTMCACACCTGCAAGGGCACTGKAAGCCATTAGCAATTAAGCAGGTATTATTGCATTAATAATAATGCAATAATAACCCCTGCCGTGCTGGAGCAGCCAGCTGCCCTCACCTCAGCTGATGGGCACGATAGGGGAGCACAGCAGCACGCAGGCAGCACCAGGAGCCGTGTGGGTTTGAAGAGCTCTCATATCCAGATTCTGGAACAGGATAATCCAGGCAGTCCTGTCCTGGTCGCTCCACAGCACAGGGCTTTGCCAGCACCCAAAATCTCCGTGTGCACCTCTGCTGGCTCTGTTGCACCCCGCTGTCCTCCTGGCAGCGCTGGCAAGCAATGCCAACCCCCAGGATGGTCCTGGAAGATGAGGGGCCCAAAGCCAGGTGCCACCGCCCTGGCACAGCTCCCAGGCTGGCCATCACCACGTAGAGAACCAGCACAAAGGATCAGCACAACCCCCAGCAGAGAGCAGAGCCCTCTGTGCCCCTGCCCAGGGCACTTCCTGGGGCTCTACACGAACATGGCAACAGCCCAGTGCTGCCACAGTCCCCAGAGCATCGCTGCCACAGCTCTGGTGAGCACAGCCCATCGGCCCCCAGGACAGGGCAGCATCCCCCAGATGTCATCCCCGCTCTCCTGCACTGGACACGGAGCATTTCGTGCACTTAGCAGCAAAACAAAATAAAATCAAATGGGATTTCTCCACCTCCCCACTCAGCTGAACATGCAGCCATTCCTGCAGCTCCTATTCGGCCGTGCCACAGCCACCAGCAGAGCTGTGCAGGGACAGCAGGTGAGCAGGCTGCAGCAGCTCTGGACTCTCAGATTATGAGCAATGATGCACATTTTGCTTCTGAAGAAATGGAAAATGCTATTGTGCCTCCAGATGCACCAGAGTCAAGGCAGGGGTTCACTGGGGAGATCAAGGTAGCTGGCACTGGAGCTGGGCAGGTTGTGCCCCTACAGCTGCCCCAGGGGCTGGTGCAGGCTGGCTCTCCCCAACCAGGACTCCTTTTCAACAGATGATAGAAAAAGGGAGCAAAGGCTCTCACAGAACCAGAGAATCATGGAATGGTTTAAGTGGGAAGCCATGCAGTCCCACCCCCTGCCACAGGCAAGGACATCTCCCACTAAACCAGCTTGCTCCAAGCCCCATCCAGCCCAGAGCAGGGATGGGGCAGACACAGCTCCTCTGGGCAGCTGTAAATTGGAACAGGAGAGGTTCAGCCTTCGGGTCAGGAGGCCGGGGAGCAGCTGGGCTGGAGCCCAGGCARGCTGTGCCCTCTCCTCCCTCAGAGGAACAGCTCTCAGAACAGCCCGAGCAACCTGCTCTGAGCAGGGGGTTGGACCACAAWCCTCCTGCCTCCCGTCCTACCTGAATTACCTGATGGATCTACGATTCCAGGCTGGGCCTGGCTGTAATCCACCAGGCAATCCTGGCCCTGAAATGCAGGGCAGCCCCTCCCACACGCAGCCTCCCGATCTCRCACTGCTGAGCATTCCACAGCGAGCGCTTGACCAAGGCCAGCACTCATCTGCCTTCAATGGACGCTTTTCCTGACAAACAAGAACCTTTGCATGGATTTGGGGGGCATCTGCCCAAAGCAGGACCAGTCTGTGGCAGCAGGCTGTGCTGGGATGGGACACCCTGCTCCCTGCACGGACTGCTCTGACTGCCAGAGCCCGGCTCAAGCCCAGACACCCACTCCAAAACCACACGACTGTCATGGAACAGCCAGGGCTGCTCTGGCTTTCACCATGGTTTCTTTTCATATCCCAAAATACTGCTGGCCCTGTRCAGGCATGGCAGCCACAGACTGGTGCTGGTTGACATGGGAGAGTCACCATGCTGAGCTGGGATGAGCCACAGCACAGCCCCAGCACCCCTGAGGGACCCACTCACAACCAGCCAACACTCCTCTAGCTGGTGGGAACGTCTGCAAACGCATTCCAAAATAAAAACTAACAACAGCGAGTTTTCTGCAAAGCTCAGAATCCCTTCCAGAGGTGAGGAAGCCTTTGGCACAGCAGGARCAAACATGGGGAACAGGGGCCACACTGCTCCGCTCACACGAAACGTGCAATCCCCCACCAGCCCCAGAAACGGCTGCCAGGGAGCCRCAGGACTCCAAAAGCCCTGGAAATCTACAGCACATTTTCTTCCACTGCTCTTTTTGCCATGTTTTCCTTTCAGCACGGCAGAGCAGCATGTTTGTGCTGGCCAAGCCTRCCCTCCTCCTCTCACCGCACCTCCGAGCGCTCCAAGCACAGGAGATACAGTATTACCTCAAATATTTAACCAAGGGATTAAAGGATTCTCTTGGCAGGAGGCARGAGCTGCCCCAAGGATGCAGTGCTGGCAGGTGCTGTGTGACAGCGARCTGCCTGCCCCGTGTGCCCACAATTCTCACTGATTTTGGGCCAAAATTTGCTGCTCACCGGCTCGCGGCCGTCCATGGCCTCCATCCACAGCCTGCGGTCCTCCTCCGACAGCGCCTGCATGGTGATGACACCAGGCCTGTGAACAGAAAGGGGACAGAAAGGTCAGTGAGCAAAGGTGGCAAAGGTGAATATCCCGTGAGAAGAGAGGGGAGGAGGACAGGCTCCTTCCAGCCAAAGCCCAGCATGAGGAGGATGAGAGCCATGGACATCCCTGCGGGTGCTGATCTGAGCTGATCTGATCTGCAGGTGAGCAGAGGACATCTCCAACAATCAACACCCCTTTCCTGCGGTTTTGTGCCACAGCCAAATTCCTCCTCTGGCCCTCAGCCACACAGCTCACCTGCACTGGGCTAAACACAGCCCTGCAGTGGAAGAAGGTGAGGAAGGTCACCAAGGAAGGTCACTAAGGAAGGTCACCAAGGAAGGTCACCAAGGAAGGTCACCAAGGAAGGTCACCCAGGAAGGTCACCAAGGAAGGTCACCCAGGAAGGTCACCCAGGAAGTCACTAAGGAAGGTCACCCAGGAAGGTCACCCAGGAAGGTCACCCAGGAAGCAGGAGCCCCACAGTCCCAGCCCCCCAGGTCTCACCACCACCCCAAGCAGCAGCTCACAGAGGGCACCTTCAGCCATGTGAAGCATTTCATCCCCGAGATGTCCGTGCCCCCATGGCTGTGCCAGTCCCCAGCCCTGTCCATACCCTGCTGTCACAGGTGGCAGTGACACAGCCCTGGCAGGGGAGCACTGCACAGCCCCAGGGTGGCCCARGGTGCCAGTCCTGTCCCCAGCACTGTCCCTGTCACCCAGCCCCATTGTCCTGTCAATGCAAACCAATAAAGCCTGGGCAGAGGGGTGATTCTAACTTGAACTTCCCAGGGCTGATTCAGCAGCAAAACGTGAGCTGCACCAACACTCTGCAGATGCCCTTTGGTCTTTGATAAGAACCTGGAAGAAAAGTAAACTTGAACAGGGGCTCTCAAGAGGTGGGTTTGGCCCWTCTCCTGCCTCCTGTGGCACGCACAGGGAGCTGAGAATTAACCCTTCTCCCTGACTCCTCTCCCCATCCAACACAGCTTCCAGCACACACAGCAGCTCAGCACTGTCCCACCAGGGAAAACCGTGCCCAGGTCCAAGAAAACCAGACATAATGTGCTTGATCTCTGCTAATCCCATTGGTGAGTCAGTCAATACTCACCAGCTTAGTGGTTTGGAAGTTTACTCACTTYGAAGGGAAGAGGAAACCACTTAACCATCGCCCCATCTGAGAGGGAAAACGCTCCACATCCAACAGCAAAACAGTTCAAAACACTGCACAAAGCTCCTTGTTGTGCAGGTACAAGGTGGCTCAAGAGCAGTGCAAGTACTGGGGAGCTGCAGTGGAACTTGAGACAAGGCTTAGGTCTGAGTTTAAGCCAAGCTGCTGCTGAAGGCACAGATATCCCGGTCAGAAAGCCCAGGAAGGGCTCTATCTCAGCCAGGGACACACAGGAAAGGAAATACTGGGATTTTTGTCTCTTTAGCCAAGACATTGAAACCAAGAAGTTTAAACCCTCCATTCATGGTWTGCTGGGCACTGGCACTGGGCTGCCAGCAGAGCTCAGTCCCAGAGTGGCAGTGCTGGTATCTGGAGTGCCAGGTTCCCTCAGCACAGGGCAAAGAAGTGATAACAGCAAAATGTTTGTTCTGCCTCTGAGCAGATAACAACTCCTCGGGCTTCACTTCAAAGTCAAGCTTCTCTAACAGCATGAGGGGAGGGGCTGTGAAACTGAATCAAACCCAATTTCCATTGCAAATAGCTCTGCATTTCCTCCCCCAGTGTTTATTTGCCAGGGCACCCATTGCATCACTTTCCTGAGCAGAGCCATCTTCCTGGCTGCGATAAATTTAAAATGCACCCACACATTACACCTCATTCATTATGGATGTGGCCGATGCCCACGGGGTTGCTGTGCTCACAGCCAGGTCAGATGGTTGGCACTGTGCCAGCCCTGCTGGAAACACAGCACCATCCTCCAGAGCCTCCTGGAGCACCCAGCCCTTCACTSGGCCATCTCAACCACCCAGCCACACCAAACACCCCGCTCTGACTTCCCAAAAAATAAGGAAAACCGATCTGTCCTTGTCCCCTCACCCAACAAACCACCCCGAATACTGGGGGTCATTTATACAGATAAGGACTTTTTAAATTAATCTGGATACTGGAGGTTATTTATACAGATAATAACTTCAAAAATTAATATTCAGCAAACACAGATTTTGCTGTGGGGCAGCTCCCACCTCCTCCCAGCATGGGATGCACCTGGGCTGTGTCATGGGGACAGCAGGACACCCTCCTGGATCTGCCTTCCCAAATGCACCAACGGGAGCTGCTGTGGCAAAAAGGATCAAGGACCTGCTGATTCACTCCTGGCTGCTGCATCCCACATTTCCACCTGCAGGCTCCACACCCCTCTGCCTTTTTATGGGACACRAGGAGGGATCAGAAGAAAAGCATTTCTAAATGGAGTGAGTGTGGGAGGGTGAGACCAGAGCAGAACATGGCAAACACTTAATAAAGTATATTTYCAATATGCTACAATCTAAAAATGGAAGGTTTTTCCATATGAGACCACACAGGAAATTTGAATTTTCTCAATATCTCAGCTTTTGTGACAAATGGCCTGGCCTTAAGGAGCCGTGACTAAGCACGCTGAGAAAATGAGAAAGTGCAATAGCTTTTCCTTCTTCCAGGAAAACAAACAAATAAGGAAAGCAATAGAGACAGATAAGAACTTCCAACTGCTGTAGCAGCTTATCACACTGAGACAATCTAAACTGCTGATGRAAACACACAAGAGTGCATTCATAACAGGGACTGAGGACTCAGCAGGGCACAGAGATGTTCCAGTCCCACCCCAGGGGCACCCCATGGCATGGGCCAGGCACCAGCAGCCAGATGTGACCCCAAAATATTGGTGAGCAAAGATGGCACTAAGGGGGAAGGCTGTGACCCTGCAGTCAGAAAGCCTCAGTGCCCAGAGCTCTCAGCACCACCAGTTCAGCACCAGCACGTTCTGCCAGGGCTGGGGCCACTATGGGTCCCCTGGGCACCCTCAGGGTGACAGCCCATCCCTCACCCTGTGCCAACCCCCACGCTTTGTTTGAAAGGTCACGGGAAAGGTGACACCGGCACAGGGACAGGGACAGGTTGAACTGCACCGAGAGGCACTGCTGGGCACGGGGACATGGGCATGGCTGGGGTCACCCAGTGTCCTGAATGGGGTCACCCAGTGTCCTGAGTGGGGTCACCCGGCCCTTGGTGGGGTCACCCAGTGTCCTGAATGGGGTCACTCAGTGTCCTGAGTGGGGTCACCCTGCCCGTGAGTGGGGTCACCCAGTGTCCTGAATGGGGTCACCAGCATGGTTGGGGTCACCCAGTGTCCTGAATGGGGTCACCCTGCCCCTGGTGAGGTCACCCAGTGTCCTGAGTGGGGTCACCCGGCCCTTGGTGGGGTCACCCAGCCCCACCCACCCCCATGCCAACCACCCCCTGTGCCAACTGAGCCAATTCTTTCAGCAGGAATTTCCCCATGGAAAGGGTGCTCAGGATTGGCAGGGGCTGCCCAGGGAGGTTTGGAGTGCCCATCCCTGGAGGTGACACTGAG